AAAGCTTTAAGGCTTAGAATTAAACTTTGAAGTTTAAAGTTTTAAATTTGAAATTTGAATTTTATAATTTTAAAATTAAAATTTGAAAGTAAGTGGCTACAAAAAATTATTTAATAAGGCCAATAGGCAATATGTAAGGATCAAGTTCCGAAGACTTTCATTTGATATTTTTATTGAATAATATATAATACTTCAAATTAAGTTGCAAGTTCTTTTTTGATTTTGTTATTTTTGAACTTGCAAATTAAAAGTTTACAACAATTACAAAAAAAAAAGAAAAGAAATAGTACATCACATGCTTTGCATCATTTTTGTAAGTTCATTCATGTCAACATGAGATTCTTGGTTTCCGGCATTGGTTGAATCAGCAACATAAACTATTATATCTCGAATTTCTTGGTCCTCCGCTTCATCTACCTCGTCACGCCCTTGATTTCGACGTTATGATCTTATCCAATCTCTGAAGCACACTAGAATTTTCAAAGCCTTGCTACCCAATGAATGACGGGTATCTCCTAGTTGGTGCCTTGCTTGGCTAAATGCGCTCTCTGATGCGACTATTGAAATCGGCACATTTAACACGTCTCAAGCCATGGTCGAAAGAACAGAAAATTTATTTGAGTTGCTCCTCTACCAACCCAGTGGTAGAAATTTCTTTGTGCGGGGCTCTGCTGACTTTTGCAAGTAGAATTGAAGTTCATCAATATTTCTGCTACTGGTTTGTTGATGCTCCCCTAGTGTAAACCAAATCAAATAATCTTCAACACCATCATTATCATCCAAAGCACTGGTCCCAGATGTTGAAATTAAACTTGAAGGAATATTTGCATCTACAGCAGAAGAAGCATCAACAATATTAGCATAATAATTATATAATGTTTCTAAATGTTTGTGTAGATCAGAAATACAAGTGTCAATATCAGGAGTTTCAGTTGGTCCATTAAAAAAAATTAAAAAAAAACAAATTTAAAAAACGAGCTGAACCGGGCTGTAGCCCGTTAATAACCCGTTAACGGGTTAACGGGCTGAACCGGGATGTATCCCGTTAATAACCCGTTAACGGGTTAACGGGTCTAGCGGGTTCCGGTGCACCGGTATCAAAAAACTGTTCGTTTGAAACCCGTTCCCCGCCAAACCCATCCCAGTCCGCCCCCCACGCTACAGTACCAGGCTGAATCGGGCTGAACCGGGCTGTAAACGGGTCAGTCCGGCCCGATTAACAGGTATAGCTCGAGTCAAGTGTAAAACTCTAGACTTCAAGGGATTACTTATAACTATACAACTTATTTACTAAACATAGACCAAACTGTAAAACAAAAAGAGAATTATAGGTGACTATAAGGGTATTCTTCTATCTCATTCAGCTTGATTGTAAAAGTACTCCCACCTCATAATTTTCCTTGTCCTCAAGGAAAGGAACTGAAATATGGAAATCGAGTCTTCAAAACATTTGCATCTTCCCACGTGGAATTCTCCACAGGTATCTGATCCCATTTGATTAAC